GTGATCATTTTGTATTTAATTTATATTTAAATATAAGACTTCTCCATTAATAACATAACCTTTATTTATATTTCTACTTTCAATAACTCAAAGTGCTTCTACATTTATGAATACATTTACATTCATAATACCATGGAGCAGGTAGGAAGAGAGTTATGGTCTCTATTTTGCAGATAAATATTCTTTGGCAAGAATAAAATCAATTACTATTTTCAAGGTCAATGCAGTACCTAGGAACTCAATCTAGATCTCTCAATCCCTTACCAGCTCAAGTAGAAGTCAGATCTCATTTCTTAGGGCCTTCTTGCTTTCCTCAATTTTTCACATCTATTTCTGATCCTAATATGTGAGAACACGGGGATAGAGCCAAGATTCAACATCACTTTACAATGTTACCTTATTGTTTTGCTCAAGAAATAAAGATGTTAGAAAGGTGCACAAGCCTGGCACCAAACAGCCTTGGGCGATAAATCCAAGTTTTAATTCAGCAAAACAGATGATGTTGTCTCCATTAGTCCAGTTCCAGCTGGGAATCTTTGGCAGAAAACCCTGTTTCATGATAGAAAGTAGGTCAAACATTAAAAATAAATATAACTTTAAAAAGTTGTTTCTAGATGAATGTCTCTGTCTTACTTTAAAGCATTTATTATGTCCAGGTCAGCAGAAGTGATAAAAACAAATTCAACATTTAGAAGTGGTTAGTGGTCAACTGTTCCACTTTTAAAAAGGAAACTAGCTATAGTTACAAAATCAAATGGCTTAGCTAGACCTGTGTATGATTCTACACTGAATTTACAATCTTTTTTTGTTTATTTGTTTTTTGGAGAGTTTTGTTTTTAGGGTATAATTGACATATAACATTATATTAGTTTCAAGTGTACAATGTAATGATTCAATATTTATATACACTACAAAATGACCAAAACAATAAGTCTAGTTATCATTCATTAACATGGTGGTTATTTTTTTCAAATACATTTTATTGATTTTTTAACAGAGAGGAAGGGAGAAGGATAGAGTAAGAAACATCGATGAGAGAGGAACATTGATCAGCTGCCTCCTGTACACCCCCTACTGGGGATGTGCTTGCAACCAAGGTACATGCCCTTGACCAGAATTGAACCTGAGACCCTTCAGACCACAGTATCCACTGAGCCAAACCGGTCAGGCCATAGTAGTGTTTTTTTTCTTGTAATGATAACTTTAGAGATTTTTTCTCTCAGTAACTTTCAAGTATATAATAGGTATTATTTTTATTACTTTTTAAATATATTTTTATTGATTTCAGGGAGGAAAGAAGAGGGAGAGATAGAAACAGCAATGATGAGAGAGAATCATTGATTGGCTGCCTCCTGCAAGCCCCCCACTGGGGATCTAGCCCACAACCCGGGCAGGTGCCCTTGACCATAATCAAACCTGGGACCTTTTAGTTCACAGGCTGATGCTCTATCCACTGAGGCAAACCGGCTAGGGCTATAATAAGGTATTATTAACAATAGCCACTATGCAATATGAATACACCTCTATGATTTTTTTAATTGAAAGTTTTCACTTTTGACCCCTTTCACCCATTTTGTCCATTTTGTCCAGTCCCATCCCCTGCTTCTGGCAACTACACATCTGTTCTCTGTATCTATGAGTTAAGGTTTTTTTGGTTGTTTATTTTTTAATTTTTAGACTTGGTATATAAATAAGATCATAGCAATAAATGTTTACCTCAAGAAACAAGAAAAGTCTCAAGTAACCATCTTTTGGTTGTCCTTAACTTTTCACCCTTTATTGTGTCTTGGTGTGGATTTCTTTGGGTTCCTCTTATTTTGAATTTTCAGCTTCCTAAAACTGAATGTCTGTTTCCTTCCCCATGTTAGGAATGTTTTCAGCCATTATTTCTTCAAATAAGTTTTCTGCTTATTTATGTCTTCTCCTTTTGAGATTCATAATGCAAATATTGGTCCTCAAGATGTCCCATCAGCTACTTAAACTGTCTCCATTCATTTGCATTCATTTTTTGCTGCTCTGGTTAGGTGAGTTCCACTACTCTGTCTTTCAGTTCACTGATCCTTTCTTCTGATTCATTTAGTCTGGAAAAGCCCCTATAATGCATTTTTCAGTTCAGTTACTATATTCATCAGCTTTGTGAAAGTATGGTACTTTCTCATACTTTCTACCTCTTTGCTGAAATATTCACTTTTTAAATCTATTCATCTTCCAAGTTCAGTGACATTTTTTTATTATTATTAAGGTATTACAAATGTGTCCTCATCCCCCCCATTAACTCCCAACCTCCCCCCACACACACACACCATGCTCACATCCCCCTGTTGTCCATGTCCATTGGTTTGGCTTATATACATGTACCGAAGGACTTGTATACATTTTACC